GACCACAATGTTCTGATATACGTACTTTGATCATATCGCACTGGCTTTTTCATGTCACTATCTGAGTAAAGCAAAAGAAGAAACGATAGCGAGTCATGAAACCTTAGATGGCTGATACTGTGTTAGATCAGCGAGTACGCCTGGCCACCTTCATCATCCATCTGGGCCGCAGAGAAGGGGTGCCAAATCGTGCATGAATGGTAGAAGCAGGGTGTCGATGTCCTGGGGACCACTAGTCAACTGATTGGGAGTCGATCATCTGACCCATCGCTGACCACTGTCAGATAGGTCATGTCTTCGACAGAAACTGTCTGGCGTCAAGCAAAATATGGAGTATGATGGTTTTAGAAGGCTCACGACTCGAGTATATAGCTCTATCACGGATGCGCATGGTAGGGAGATGCGATTAGCTGAGCGGGGAGTCAAGCATATCTGAGTCCCTGACCAATGCACCACTTGTCTGAGAACGAAAAACGTGTGCAATCATTCAAAGAAGATGGTTAATCTTACCAGTGCGTCGATGCAACGTTGATGATCTAGATCCAGTCTCGAGACACGTGTGAATGATGAATGCAAAGTGGGGCAGTGGCAGAACAAAAGACGACACTACATATATGGGACCATCATTGTCCCAAGTAAACTCATTTTACGCAAGGATTAATTACAGCAGAGTTCGAATGGGCTCGGATTTGATTGTGCAGATGCACGAGTAGAAAATTTCAAGGCGAGTTGCGGCGTTGCTATCGACAAAAATAAATCGGATCTTATGATTCGGACTAGTATCAGATCGGAAATTGAGTTGAGGCTAGGATGCCAGGTATGAATCAGAATTTGATGGAGGCTGGGTCGATGCAAAGAGGGGATTGCATTGGTTGCCAGGATGAGTGGTATTGTAATCTTGATATTAAGACCTGGTACCGATTAGAGAACGTTCTGGATGAGGGCAAATTAATTAGTTTGTACATGTGGAGTAGGTGAACTGGTATCATGTTGTCCCATAAGAGTAATCGGAGGAAGAGTCCATAGGAAATTTATCACCATCACCAATGGCCCTTGTTCCATAAGAGTAATCAGAGGAAGAGCGCACATCGTTGGAGTCACGTGAGAAGCTGATCTCCAATTCTGGTGGTGCAAATTAAATTCTATGTTCAACCAATTGCAAATGCCTCACTCAGTGAGCATGCATAGTCTAACAAATGTCCGAATCACTATCTTTGGCGATACAAGCGCTGAATATTGAATATTGAGTGCTGGTATATATAGCATGTGCATGAACGCTAGACCGTTATACACTCCTAATATCCTCGAATATGACCGTAATCTCAAATGATCCCAGTTGGTGGCCCTACGTCAATTCCGTTATTTTGTACAGCTATTGGACGGGTTCGCCATATCAAATGGTCATGTCTTGATTTGATATTGACTTGTAGTTTTGCAGTTGCCGCAGGTCTCGTGGTGGTATACGATTGGGGTGAGCAGCAAAGTGTTCTGATATTGCTGATATCCTCATGATATTTCCAGTATTAACACTCCCACAAGAGGTAGGCTGATTCTATTGCCTCCGGAGCACCCAACTTGCTCACAATAGTGTCATAGATTGACCTCATTTGGGTGAGTCATACAGTACTGTCTCATATCAGAAGAAACACAATGAATTTGTGACAGACCCAACGCTGGTCTCTTATGACCGTGTTGTACCTAGTCGTTCGTACCTCGTCTTATACCATAGCATGGTTGATGGTTGTGCTGACTCCAAAATGTTCTAGATACGCTATGTTGGAATACCATATTCTGTGTATGTTAATCGAGGCCAAAAAGTAGTTGCTGTACTGATAGCCAATCTCTCATTATCAGTGCTAGCATTCTGGGTATGTCTCATATGCACCGTGTTTGATTCTTCTAACCGGCGGCACACAGAAAACATTACGTCGGTCTCGTTGACAGATGCAGTGAGTATTCCGCAATCATTTCATTCTTATCCAATGAATACATTCATTTGTAGGGGTGAGTGCGATTTGACCATTGGACTTGGCTCCACATAATGACTCAATAGGTGTGAGTCGGAGCGTTTGATCCTAGTACGAGGGTGTCTGCTAATCGAGTGTTTCAGGCAATATCATATTCTATACAGTAAATGGGACAAATGCGATCATAACTGCCATGTTGGGAGGTGAGTTGCCCAGCTGCAATACCTCAGTGGTATTGACTCGACTGAAATATGATCCAAGTCATCATGATTGCTCGGTTATATGCCATGTATCATGGATCTAAGAAGATGCTTATCTTCCTTGTTATTATCTTCCTGGCCGTAAACATCGCCTGCGGAGTAATCATGATCATAGCACTCAAGTATGATTTTGTATCGGGTAAGCTTTACTTGCTGAATTGAAGAACACGGCTCATTGGACAAATACCAGAGGAAGCGATACTCTCTGGTATTCATACGTGCTCTGATGAATCCAAGGGGGATATCCAGCTTCTGATATCAATGATTTGGACGCTCAACACTGTTTGGGAGGTCCTCGCACTGTGTCTTTCAGTCTGGGTCGCCGTGAAGCACTTCCGTGAGCTGCGACGACTCGGTCCATTGACGGGATCGACCATCGGGGACTGTTTCAGAGTGCTCATGGAATCTCACGTGCTTTATTTTGCAAGGTGAGCTTGTAATGCGAATATACTTATCGTTTTCTGCTCAAGTTCCGCATGTGCTAGCTTTGCCGGTGTCTCTTGCCTCCAGCTTGTTAATCTCTCTCCAGAAGTCGAGGTACGCCAATATGTCACTGACATCTACATGTAACCACTGCTCATCATTTCTGTAGAATTACATTGGAGTTGAGATACTCAATGGTGCTATTTCTATTTTATTGTCCGTGCAGATGTTTGTGCTGGGACCACGCCTCATCCTTAGCGTTCGACAATATCACGCTAAACTCGTGGCCGGATCCGACGCAGAAACTAGCATGAATTCGATCATCTTCCAGGAGCACGTAAATGTACCAACTAGCAGTACTGTGTAGGAAATGGTTGCCGAGTGCTCCGCATGGAGGAGATATTTGGTCGAGGATCCATCGTATTTATTTCAGTTATGGTATATTTTAGATGACGTTTATGTAGACAAACCCATTTCTTGTTATATCGCTGCTTGAAATCTGTGATCCAGACATGCACCCAGTAGCAATCCGAAAAGCATGGTAAGAAGATGAAAAGCCAGAAGTACATCTGTCAAACTATTAGTGAGGCATCGACTACACTCAGTCGCACCATCGTAACGTGGCGCGCATGCGACTGAAAATCGTGCGTCGAATGTGTATTTTTGCAAGATCTGTTGGAGCCCATTCTGCTCAGCACGAGTAAAGCACCAAACGAGAAACATACATACAAATATTCATCATCGACACCGACCTTAGAGCCAGGAAATGATGGGTGATCAAAAAGACAGTGCATCACTTCATGTGATTATCTGCTAGCTCAAGTACGTGAGTCTAGACGTCTAAGCCCAGACAGTTGCCAATAGACCAGAATGTCTATGAGCCTGCGAAATACTTTGGAATCATCTGTCCAAGGAAACTTATGGAGAAATGAGAGTGGTTGTATGAGGCCAGATGACTGGTGATGCCATGGCCTTCTTGAAGAACATTTCTTCAGAACCATGGCATTATCAGTCACTCTCGCCTTCTCCTGAACTAGCGTCCAATTGAACACATAGATGAAGGAGGATAAGACACGTGGACTTGCAATGAACGTTGTCATTGTGCTCATGATACAGCAACCGCTGACCAGGCCTTAAGAAGCGTGATTCTGATTTCGGTGGTCTCAGAGGGCAATCATTGTTCTGGATGCAGAAGTGGAGGACGGGGAGATGGGCATATATTCGAAGATGTCTTGTAGGAACATTAGAGGCTACCGTAAATTAATGTCTCTCACGTGGATTGTTGCAACAACCAATTAAAGAAAATAACTTGTGGATGACCATTGTCCGGTGATATGCAAGACGAATCAACACATGATGATCGTAAGGAGGGAGAGTGACTATAATCGATGATTCTATGGATGGATGGGGACACAAGGTATATCGATAGCGGGAAGGCTCGGATACGACGCTTGAATGTTCGATTATGGCCGGATGGCGGGCAAAGTCCAACTCCATCCTAAATGGATGCATGATGAATCAGAACAGTGGGATGACCAAATAGGCTAGATAAGGCTTCGATCAGACAAACAAACTTGAAGGGAGAGCAGGCAGGCATACCTGTCGAGAGTATCTGTCTAATGTACCAGGAATCAGACTCCCGATTTGCTACCACTTCGAGTTTCTGCGGCTGGCTCTGTTTTGTTTATTCGAGTTTATCTAAATACAGCGAATTCTCAGTGACACGATACGGCAGTGTCTTGCTCGGGACTTACATGGTTGACTCAGGACGTGCATTGGAAGCTATTAGATAGTGTCCAAATGGACTCGTCGCTGATGGCCCTTCTTCACGCTGTCCATCTTCGATGGTGTCCGTGAGTCAATCGAGCCCTTTATGCTGAATGACAGACGGTCGTAGATGAGAGTGGAACAAGTCAGACGCATGCCCACTCCGATATCATCCATCTGGGCAGTAGGGAAGTAGTAATGAGAATGAATCGTGTCACTCGTGCGTGAAGGGTGAAGGTCGCTGTCGATGTCCTCGGCAACTATTGGTAGGGATTGTTGCAATTGGGCGTCACACTGCATCATCGGATATCCAGGTCCATTCCATTTTGGGTGCTACTGGCACGATATCGCTGATTGACGTCTATTCAAGCATGATATGACGATACCGAGCATGACAAGTTAGAACAGACTTACGAGGTGAGTATATGCCTCTGTCAAGAATGAATGCGCATGGCAAGGAAATGAAATGTGCTGAGAGGGAAGTAGAGATGGGAAGCGGGCTTCAAGTCGGGACGCGGAACGTATCAAATGCTCCTGGAAAAGTATCAGTAAGGCGCTGACTACGATATTTTGACATACATACTTTGATCAGATCACGTCGGCTCTAACATGTCACTACCTGAGCAAAGCAAAAGAAGTGGCAGCGAGTCGTGAAACCTTAGACGGATGATACTGCGTCGGATCAGCGCGCAGACTATTTGCGCTGAGCGAGGAGCAAAGCGCACCCGACAAAATATCACTAATGCATCAGTTATCTGAAGACAAAAAATGTGTGCAATCATTGAAGGAAGATGGTTACCTTGTGTTGATGGAGGGTGTAGATTCAGTCTCGAGGCATGTGTAAATGATGAACGCAAAGTGAGGCAGGGATACTGGCTGTCACAGAAGACAACACCATCGTCCCAAGTAAACTCAGTTTACGCAAGGATTGATGACGGCAGAGAGTGGGCCCAGGTTTGATTGGGTGGATGTAAGTAAATATTTACAAGATGATGAAGGCGCGGGAGGCGTTGTTATCGACGTTGTAAAAAAGACGCTCTAGAAGGCTCTGAATCGGGTCTTGACTCTTGTGATGAACTATCAAATCGGAAATTGAGTTGGAGCTATGGAACATATGATACAGATAAGGCCGGGTCGGTGCAAACTTGCAAAGGAGGATTGATTTTGGATGTTGTATTCTTGATATTAAGACCGGGTGGTTAGAGAACGTTCTGGATATAAGATGGAACGTTGACCGTGATGTAGAGGAGGTAGGTGAACATGCCCGTTCCATAACAGAATGCAAAATTGCAGATGAACACTGGACTCGTAACCAGTCTGACTATGCGTCAATTTGAGATGGTGAGAATTTATTGACGTAGTCACTTGTGCAACCGTGGTACTTAGTATACGCCAGGCTGGTCACGAGCCTAAATGAACACCGCGTGAGAAGATTTTCAATTCAGGCAGAGCGCAAATCAAATTCCACTTTCAAATAGGCCGATCACTATCATGCTGTTACGCTGACCGCTGGTATATATATCTAGCATGAACGCTAGACCGCTATACACTCCTAACATCTTCCATCCTCGAATATGACCCTAGTTTCCAATGATCCCAGTTGGTGGCCGATCATCAATTCAAATCTTTTTCAAGCCTATTGGCTTGGTTTGTCATATCAAAGTTTGGTGATCTGAGTCTCGATCTATCTAACATCCACCATTTCGCAGTTGCCGCAGGCCTCGTGGTGGTATATGATTGGGGTGAGAAGCACAGTGTTCTCAAATTGCTGATATTCTCATGATATTTCCAGTATTAACACTCCCACAAGAGGTAGGTTCATGCTATCTCCGGAGCAGTCAACTTGCTAACAATGGTGTCATAGATTGACCTGATTTGGGTGAGTCACAGAGTCCCATCATGATATCAGAAGAGAAACGATGAATTTGTGACAGACCCAACGCTGGTCTCTCATGACCGTGCTTTACCTAGTCGTTCGTACCTCGTGTTATACCATACCATGGTTGGGGTTGTGCTGACTCTAAAATGTTCTAGATACGCTATGGTGGAATACCATATTCTGTGTATGTTAATCGAGGCCAAAATGTAGTTGCTGTACTGATGGCCCATCTCTCATTATCAGTGCTAGCATTCTGCGTATGTCTCATATGCACTGTGTTGGATTCTTCTGACCAGCGGCACACAGAAAACATAACACCAGTCTCGTTGACAGATGCAGTGAGTATTCCGCAATCATTTCATTCCTATCCAACGAATACATTCATTTGTAGGGGTGAGTGCGATTTGACCATTGGACTTGGCTCGACATGATAATTCAATAGGTGTGAGTCGGAGCGTTTGATCCTAGTACGAGGGTGACCGCTAATCGGGTGTTTCAGGCAATATGGTAATATATGCGTTAAATGGGACAAATGTGGTCGTAGCTGTGATGTTGGGCGGTGAGTTGCCTAGCTGCGATATCTCAGTGATATTGACTCGACTGAAATATGATCCAAGTCATCATTATTGCTCGATTGCATGCCATGTATCAGAGATCTAGGAGGATGCTTATCTTCCTTGTTATCATCTTCCTAGCTGTCAACATCGCCTGCGCGGTAATCACGATCATAGGACTCAAGTATTATTTCGTACCGGGTGAGCTTTACTTGTTGAATTGAAGAACACAGCTCATTGGACAAATACCAGAGGAATTTATACTCTCTGGTATTCATATGTGCTATGAAAAATTCGAGGGGGATTCCCAGCTTCTGATATCAATGGTCTGGACGCTCAACACTGTTTGGGAGGTCCTCGCACTGTGTCTTTCAGTCTGGATCGCTGCGAAGCACTTCCGTGACCTGCGACGACTCGGCCCATTGACGGGATCGACTATCGAAGACTGTTTCAGAGTGCTGATGGAATCTCACGTGCTTTATTTTGCAAGGTGAGCTTGTAATGCGAATGTGCTTATCGTTTTCTGCTCAAGTTCTGCATGTGCTAGCTTTGCCGGTGTCTCTTGCCTCCAGCTTGTTAATATCTCTCCGGAAGTCGAGGTGCGCCAACATGTCACTAACATCTACATGTGGCCACTGCTCATCATTTCTGTAGAATTCGAATTCTGCAGCAGCTGACATACTCAATGGTACTATGCAAATTTTTATGTCCGTGCAGATGTTTGTGCTGGGACCACGCCTCATCCTTAGCGTTCGACAATATCACGCTAATCTCGTGGCCGGATCCGACGCAGAAACTAGCATGAATTCGATCGTCTTCCAGGAGCGTGTGCATGTACCGACTAGCAGTACTGTGTAGGAAATGGTTGTCGAGTGTTCTGCATGGAGATATTTAATCGAAATTCCGTCGTATTTATTTTATTTATGGTGTCTCGAAGTATATTTTAGACGAGGTTGATGTAGACAAACCTATTTCTTGTTGTATCGCTATTGGAAGTCGGTAATCCAGACTTGCACCAAGTAGCAAGCTGAAAAGCATGGTAAGAAGATGAAAGCATCGAGTAGATCTGTCAAACTATTAATGAGGCATCGACCACACTTAGTCGCACCATTGTAGCGTGGCGCGCATGCAACTGCAAATCGTGCGTCAAATTTGCGTTTTTGCAAGATCTGTTGGAGCCCATTCTGCTAAGCACGAGTAAAGCACCGAACGAGAAACATACATACAAATACAAATATTCATCATCGACACCAACCTTAGGGCCAGGAGATGATGGATGATCAAAAAGACGGTGCGTCACTTCATGGGATTATCTGCTAGCTCAAGTACGTGAGTCTAAGCCCAGACAGCCCATAGACCAGAATGTCTACGAACCTGAAAAAAAATACTTTGGAATCATCTGTCCAAGGGAACATATGGAGAAATAAGAGTGGTTGTGCGAGGTGAGATGACTGGGGATACCATGGCCTTATTGAAAAATGTTCATTCAAAACCATGGCATTCTCAGTCACCTGAACCGAATGAATGGAAAGCAGGGGGAATGGCACGTAGAAGTAGCATCTCTGAGCTCGGACAGCTGATAGCACAATGGCCCCGCAGCGTGATGACTCTCACCTTCTCCTGAAGTAGTGTCTGTTTAAACACATAGATGAAGGAGGAATAAGAGACGTGGAGGCGAGAATCTTGCAATGAACACTAACGTTGTGCTCATGATACAGCAACCGCTGACCAGGCCTTAAAAGGGGTGGTTCCGAATTTGGTGGTCAAAGAGGGCAATCGTGGTTCTGTATGCAGAAGTGAATGTGAAAGTGGAGCACAGGAGAGATGGGCAACCGATTATTGTGAGATAAGAGAGGCCGTAGACCAGATCCATATCGTGTATAGTCGTCGCATAAAGCATCGATCCATATGTAACGTTCACCAAGTTGTCGAATCAGTGATGGTATCAGGGAGCTTTGCTGTGCTCAACCCGCCAGGCGTGCCGCGCTCTGCTATATTATCCTTCGTCGTCCAATAATCTGAGCCGATGCCTCCCCATACGTAACTGGGAGCGATGTAACGACAAGCAGAAGGCGCAGGAACCACAGCCATCAATACTACGTCCACCACTCTCACAAACCCCGGCAGTTTCCTCTTGTCGTGTTCGCCTATTATTGAGACTTTTACATGTATCTCCATGGCTCGCATGGCACAGTTTGACCCACTTCTTCACCGTGTTGATATCCAGTGTTTCTCACCCCGCGACAATAAAGGTCGGTCGGTCTTCCAAACTTGAAAGCGTCTTCTTGCATAAAGTGAATGTTAAGCGCACCTGCTATCCTGAAAGCTGGATATCTCTTCCAGATGTCCTCTAGGCCTTCCATCGTGATGTAGAGGCGATATCAACGGAATTTGGATGAGGGATAAGAGGACAACCACAACGTTTCGCTCCATAGAATGACTCCCCTCCTCCACCTGTCCCTGTTTTGTCGCCGGTTTGGACTAAGAAACCCGGTACGATTCTGCAAGGAAATTCATGGACCCATTCCGAGTGCGCTGACTCGGAGCAAGGTACTAACCTGTGAAAGATGAGCGCAGACAACTACGAAGATATCACCCTTGTGGTGCTGAACCAGGAACACGAGGATCTGCGCCTCAGCCCGAAACCCCACATCCCACGCCCTCGTGCCTCTGGCAGGAATGCACCCAAACCTCCAAATGAGCTGGGCGCCTCGTTTTCAGAACAAATTCAACTCCTAACCTTCTAGTGCGATGAAGTTCTGACATGTTCTTGGTGTTTCCTGGGTGTACACTCAGCAAACCAAGTCAAATATTCCACGAATGCAGTGCACACATTTGACCATAGTTCAATTTCAATTTCTCCTGCAGTTATGTCGATTATCACTCGCCCATTTGTTGGGAGTGCCATTGCTGTTTGCGAGTGAGGTCAAGTGAAGTTCTGGTCGGCGTGCTAAGTGGACAACCCTAAAAAGGGAATTCAACTGGTAAGACTATTAGTGGGAGGTCCGCTGAGGTCCGTATGCCACGGAGGCGGTGGTGCACAACCACTGCCGCACCCAATTTCAGAATTGCCCTTGCGGCCCGCTATATTTGTATTTGTACTACGTAGCATCCATCTTCAGACATGCCACCAATCCCCACGCTAGATCCTGAAGCTGTTTCTCTAATCGATTCCATTGAACGGCACCACAACGACCTTTCTACCTTACAGATTCCTCGTCTGAGGGCTTGTACGGGTCCTTTGATCGCGCAACAAGCATGTGCTGCGGAAGTAAGGGAGGACATCGAAGGTCTGGCGAGGCAAATTGAGGTATTTCAGTTCACACTTCAAAGTTCAACCAATACTCACCACTTGTAGGAGCTGGATGTCCTGGTCGACGACCACAGGACTGAACCGGCGAGGAGAACTGAGGAGAAGAGTTCAAAGTTTTCGTGATTTATTCACCAAGCATGCGACCGTTTTCAGTATTTTTTGCCACCCTCTGACAATTTTTTTTCTCTTGATACCAGTTTACGCAAAAACTCTCGAGCAGCAGTACTAGCGTCCAAACACGCAATCGACTCCAAAAGTCGGTCACAGCGAGAGGAGTTGTTGAGGTCCCCGCAGAAAAGTACAAGTTCTTCAAGCGGAAAAATCACGTTCGTGCGCTAAATGTATTCATACCCTCCTATACAGCTAACTCGTGACCTACAGCGAAGACGTCATGAAAGCCAACCATGATGTCACCGAAGCGCTTCAACGAACCATTGGACTGATGCAGAAAGAGCTTGAGCGCAGTGTTATGTCTTGTCAACTACTAGGTAAGTTTGTATCATTTTTCTCTAATATCTCCCATCCGCTTCACAGAGTCATCCACCGCAACTATCCAATCCGTATCCATAACGCACGACAGGCTCGATTATATCCTGGGCACTTCCAAACAACTCATCACCGCGCTCGAAAAGACAGACTGGGTCGACCGCGTCCTCATTATTTCCGGCCTCGTGTTTTTTGGCCTCGTGGTCCTCTTTATCGCCAAGCAGCGCATCATTGACCGGGGGCTACGTATCGCTTTGTTCTGGATGAGATTATTGCCAGGCCTTGGCTCGAGTACGCGCGGGGTGGTGCAGAAGACTGGGGAGGCTGTGACGACTGTGTCGGCCGCCACTACTGGTTTGAATGCAAACCACGTAGTGGAGGATGTCTCATCTGGTATTTGAATAAATGCATGCGATGTTACCTTCATCATTGTACGAGCGGCGGTATTATGTGCGGTAAGACACCTCTTTACCCTTGTTTTCTCTATACCAAACCATATCATGTGCAACTAAGACCTGGACTGGGTCTGTCCCAGACGAGCATCGTTCTCTCCGCGATATGGAATCTGGATATATCTTCTGGGTTGGTATTCCCCGACGTAGCCGAAACATTTGTCCAAGAATCTTAAATTACGATCCAGTAGTTGAAGGTCAAGCTTCCGTCAAGGCATGATTTGCGTTCGTGAGTTTCTTTTTTCTTATCGATTTCCGTTTGACTGTTGTTCTGTTAATGGGGCCGTGGGGGTGGCTGAGTGCATATTTTCAGGCTTTCGAGATGTACTACTAGTGATGATCAAATGCATATGCCTGACACTGACTTAGGGATAACTACATCAACTTGTCGCACTTCTAGAAGACGAAGGGTGGTACATCGGGAATTGACGAAACTTAGAGCTTAAGTTGAATCCGAGCACCAATCATAGGACTCAAGTATGATTTCGTATCGGGTAAGTTTTGCTTGTTGAATTGAAGAACACAGCTCATTGGACAAATACCAGAGGAACTGATACTCTCTGGTATTCATATGTGCTCTAGTGGATTCGATGGGGGTACCCAGCTTCTGATGTCAATGGCCTGGATGCTCAACTGTTTGGGAGGTCCTCGCACTGTGTCTTTCGGTCTGGATCGCTGCGAAGCACTTCCGTGACCTGCGACGAATCGGCCCATTGACGGGATCGACTATCGGAGACTGTTTCAGAGTGCTGATGGAATCTCACGTGCTTTACTTTGCAAGGTGAGCTTGTAATGCGAGTGTGCTTATCGTTTTCTGCTCAAGTTCCCCATGTGTTAGCTTTGCCTGTGTCTCTTGCCTCATACTTGTTGAGGCCACTCCAGAAACCGGGGTGCGCCAATATGTCACTGACATCTACATGTAACCGCTGCTCATCATTTCTGTAGGATTCGAATTCCATAGCAGTCAGCATACTCTGTGGTGCTACGCAAATTTTACAGCCCGTGCAGATGTTTGTGGTGGGACCACGCCTCATCTTTAGCGTTCGACAATATCACGCTAAACTCGTGGCCAAATCCGACGCAGAAACTAGCATGAATTCGATCGTCTTCCAGAAGCGCGTACATGTACCGACTAGCAGTACTGTGTAGGAGATGGTTGCCGAGTGTTCCGCATAGAGGAGATATTTGGTCGAGGATCCGTCGTATTTATTTTAGTTATGGCGTCTCACAGTATATTTTGAGCGAGGTTTATGTAGACAAACCCATTTCTTGTTGTATCGCTACTGAAAGTCGGTGATCTGCCGCCCACACTCGTACTAGTACCGAGTGGCAAGCTGCAATTACCCGGTACATCTAGCAATGAACACGGCCCTTGATGCCCAGACAGTTTATTCTACGTGTTTGCGGGATCCCTTTGTCTGAAATGACTGTAACAACTCATCGATGCTCAGATGCGCTTTCATCCATCCGGGCCACGGAAGGAACATCAATAAATCGCGCGGACTCGTGGTTCCTCTATCGCGAATGAACATAGCAAGAAGATGAGGTGTGCTGAGCGGGGACTCGGAGTAGAGAATTAAAGATTCAGAGCTGACTGTTAATGCCATGAACCACAACATTTCCATATTGCATCCATACATACGCTGATGGGAGGCATTGGGAGCCGCGCCATCGCCCATGTGAGTGCAAATTGCGCAACGATTTTGCGTCCTGACTCCATGCGATGATCTGTTTGAGCCCATCATGCGACGCACGGATAGCAGTGTAAAGTACCGGTCGAGATACATACATGCATATATCCACCATCTGGACTGAGCGAACGGAAAGCGAGGAAACTGTAAAGTGTTTGAGCTCAGACTGTAGACAACTGACAAGCCAAGGGATCCGCAGCATCATTAGACTCTCGCCTTCGATCGCAGACTGTCCAGGCGGAGTGCCCTTTCAAGGGTAATATGAAATTGGCTGTAAGCTTTCAAGTAGATCTCTTGAATGGTTCGGAAGTCGACCGGCCCAACCAATGTGTTCTCTTGTCGCTTTGAACAGCCACATGATCACGTGACGGTCGCGTTATTTGATACCTGTCACACTGCACTAAGAAACACGAATGGTCTTGTGGCGTGTATCAAGGGCTATGTCACTAAAACACACATAGCACGAGTATAAGCCAGGCTGGTCTCGAGCTTGATACGATAGTCGACAGTGTGCGTAAATGAATCCTTCAGTCATCGTGCTCGACCTAAAATTGACATTGCGAAGTGGAATGTGTCTGGTACACAACGTCGTTCCCATGTACACGTTCACCTACTTATTCCTGCTGGATTTTGCAAGAATGATAGTGCAATAAGCAGATTCATTGGCAATGACAAACAACGGAATCGCATCTACAGCGTACAGTTTTTCCGATTTTAGGGGCTACTCCATCGGTCACGCACTGGGTTCAACATCCTCAAGAGGGGGTGGGCCGCCATCGGAATCAGAATCAGAGTCAGCGGTCTCATCTGATGGGCCGGCACCACCAGCCCCGCCCATGGAAGCCATCATCTGGTTATTGTTGCGATCAGTACGATGTAGATGTTTCCAGAAGTGACCTACCTTGCTGAAATCCATGCCGCCCATGCCTCCCATGCCGCCCATACCCCCCATGCCCATGTCTCCCATACCTCCCATGCCCCCCATACCGCCCATGCCTCCCATACCGCCCATACCGCCCATACCACCCATGCCTCCCATACCACCCATACCACCCATGTCTCCCATGCCGCCGAGATCGTCTTCTAAAGGGGCACCGTCTTGCTCGTCTTCATCAACCCATTTGCTGAAATCGGTCTTGACAAACGGCAGCTTCGTCTTTTCCTTCGTTAGTCGTGGCCAATACTCAGCCTTGAGGGCCTTCTTTCGTAGCACCGCCGTGAAAGAGCGCGAGCTCAATTTGCTCAGAGATGCCTAAGAGATGATGAGTGGCGCATACTTGGACAGTGTGATAAAGAAACATACTTCTGTGTCTACTTCATCGAATAATGGGAGCGAGAATGCATATGCTTTCTTGTCGCTGATGTCGGTAGATGATGTTGAAACCACAAATTCAAAGGGTTGATAGAGCGCTGACTTACGTTTTTGACGCTGCTTTGAAAGAAACTCCAGTAGACGTCAATTCATATTGGAGACTCGATTCATCAATGTCTGGCACGTTCACAGTCAACCAAATGATGTTCTGGCGCGCAATCGCGGAGTGGATCATCAGCACAGGAATGATCAAAGATGGAATTTGAAAGTCAAGACACACCTTGTCAGCAACAGAATCACTGCTACGTTGAGCCCATAGAACTTCAGGATGTGTTGTCATCGCGTCTGGGATGATTGTAAATTTGAGAAAGAGATTGTAAACGTTTTCTTCGAATCACGCAGAAAGACGAAGAAACGTCTAGTTTTTCTGAAGCTAGATCGGCAAACGTAGCCACACAAGATCACGTGAAGTCACCCTCCCTAGTTCACAACATGAACAATATTAATGTTGAAAACGCGATGGACATTTGAGGCCTGGGCAGGTTAACGAATGTCTTCATTAGATGGCGAAGAGAAGGCAGCGGGGGAAGTCACGATAACGATGAATGAAAGAAAAGCAAAGTTGGAGCAGCTGAGAGCCAAGATGGTGGGTGGTCCTACCTACCTCGTACTTATCGTTCACTCTACCACAGCGTTCATCTACGAAAGCCAATCGTGCTTCCTCATTGAGGAGTCTGTTAGAGCAAAGATAACGGTGAGGGATGCTGCATGACTAGAACGTCAGCGGAAACTTGCGGAGGTGTTCCGCACGCCAGCTGAGGCTGAGGATCGGGGGAGGACGTGGAACGCCAGAAGAATTGGGAATGGACAATAGAAGAGAACGACAATTGGGAAAAGAAGAAGGCGAGAAAAGTAGGAAGAACAGACTACGAGTTTCATGGTGCGGCCTTCCTTGCATGATGCCACTCTTGCTTAAGTCTTGTGTAGACGATGCACACGCACTCGACGGCGCTACAAGAAGGATCTTGACCTAATTAAACCAGACCTCACTGCATACAGCCGACAGAAGAAGTCGTACTGGGGTTGGCGCCTGGTTCGCTTGCCAATTCTGGGAGCAGTTCATCTGCTCTCATAGCCTTTGATCCGTCAGGTGGACAAGTCAATTCTGCCTACCCTTTCGTTCTATCGTATCACTGAACTTGTGTATTTTTAGATTGTCCCGTCTGCTGAACAACGGAGGGCCGCAGAAAGCTTCTACCGAGATGCCAATACTTACTCTACTTCATGCTAACAACAAGCCTACTAAAGATGCCATTGATAAAGTGGTTGCTAAGATGAATAGAGAGTGAGTTTCTACATTTCCTGGTCCTTGCGGTACTGACAATATCATCGCACCGTAGCATCGACAAGAAAGGCAAATTCTCCCGAAAGGGATTCAATGAGGATGAAGGGGACATTACTTAGATCAATGAGCGGAATCGGGTGTTCAACAAAAAGGTGTGTCATTGCATTTGTTTATGTTTTTGAAAATATGAGTTGACGAGTAACAGATTGCACGATACTACGATAAATATACCTCAGAGATTCGGGCCAGTTTCGAGCGGGGAACAGCATTATGATCCCTCACACCTCGAGCCAAGTAATGCCTGACTTCCTTCTTTCAAGGTCTGACTACGGGAGAGTACTTGCACTTAGAGTACCCACATTTACTCACTGTAATCTTAATTTATGACTTTATATTCACGTCGACATCGTGACCTGTACATTATTTTGAGATCTGGATTGAGACCTGTTGTGATAAGTTGTGACATCCTAAGATCCCGTCACCAGTCACACATTTGCATATTGCGGCGTTTGTACTTACATAAAGGACAAGTCAGAAATCATCATTCATGTGGTGAGTTACTGAAGCAAAGGCAAAACGACTTATTAATTGTGATTTCTGTATCAACCAGGTGCACAAGGTGGTTCCTACCGCTGTTACTTTTGCCTCTCCCAACTGCTCAGCCATACTTTTTGGTGCTCTTCCTGTTTTCATTAGCTTTGCACGCGAAACCATGGTGAGGTGCTGTGCTATGGGTGCGTTGAGGTGATACTGATATGTTCATAGCTTCTACTGCATTGTACTTCTCGGAGCTCTCTTTCTGTCATCATGTTATTGGCAGTCATTCCCATTGGAGACGCGTCTCTCGATTCCATGGTCCTCCACTATCACCACCTTTTATGACGCATTAAATGTAACCTTGCCACCCAATTTCGACCTGCGCGAACACACTCCACCCATAATTCGCGTCAATGACAGATGCTGGTGCGATTTTACTTCGGGGGTTTTCGAATCATATGATATGCAGAAATGGGAGAGGGAAAGTGTGGAGAGACTGGCTGCAGATATGGTGCAGCAGATGAAGGATCGTGCAGAGAAGCTCACCGCAGAGGAGGAGCTACCAAACGCCGAGGAAGAAACATCATCACCTGAGGAGACGCATTTATCGGCAATTCATCATACCGTACACGTCATATCTACCCAGAAGTCCACATTATCAGCGCTCCGTTCGATGTTCGGCCAAACAGAGGCCCAAGCCTCACCATCCATCGCAGATATGGAACCATCCACGACAACGATACCGACACCGACAACAACGTCAGTTTCCAGCTCCAAGCCATCCCTGATGTCGTCGCCGCTACCCCCTCGTCGACCACTTGAATATGACCTCAATCCGTACGGTTTTGATCTCATTCTTGACTTTCATTGGTCTTGAGGTCGACAGGAAAATTAGTGTAGGACGCATACTGCTTGTATCAATATTTTAATTATAGATTACAAGCACTACTTTTGTAACCTGTATACTTTTAAGTTCATGTGCCTTCTGTGAATGCTGTCGAGCGTGTGAATTCCAGCCATGGTGTTCCGGCAGAGACATTCAGAACCAGAAAACTTGCGTTTACTCTCCTTCGCATAAGTATATCTTCATCAGCCCACTCAGTTCCCCCTTCTTTCGTGTTCGTGCGGAATGCGATTAGATGTCCTCAAAGTTTAAGGGAAAGTCAGCCAACCGGCCAGACATTACCCGTGCAGCGTTGGACCCGGAACAGTCCACAGTCCACAGTAAGATGGAATTGGTGTCCAAAACCCTATTTGCGCCCTTCAATAACAAGAAGAAAGACTCCTCACGCATTCTTACAGACCGTGAGCAACACGCGGTACTATTCATTACAGTCATCTAATATATTCTTTCCAGTTGCTCCGGTAATAATGACTCCTCGTATGATTAACGCAGCGGCGACCGTGTCTTCACGTTCGCAAAGTTCTCTTGGTGCCTCAGCTCCCGGAGGATCCCGGCTGGACTTTGCAACTCTCGGACGCGCCCCAATGCGTCTAACCCTCGGTACGCGCCGCATCACGTCGCGAGATCTTCAGATCATCGAGGCAACGGATGAGCTCTTGGACGCTGAGATTCCAGAAGCGGGGGGTATTGCGTCTGACGTGAGCCTACTCCGCGGTTTTAATGCCACTGTTCCGAGTTCAGAGAAAAACCGGACACGTCGCAAACAGATGCGGAATGTCGAGACTCCGAGGATTGGACTAAAAAAGCTAGGGATGAGTGCGAGAGGGATGATGATTGAAGATGAAGAGGAGAGAAGCATCGCAAGTGAAGAAGATATGGTGGTGGTTTCACGTCTTGATGAACGAGGGAAACGAAAGGGGAAGAGACGAGGCAGGGAGAGCCTTAGTTCAGCAAAGGCACTTGGCAAGGATGAACTTCGACGACAGACCCAGGAGATAATACTTGACAAGGAGAATCTTCATGTTCGACGGGTATGTTTCTCTGTCTCACATCCCGACTTCTCTAACGTGGTGCAGAGTCTAATTAACAGTGAGATTGCGGAAATCAACAATAAAATCAAAGCGCTGGACTCAATAAGAGGGAGTCTGGAACAAGACCTCTTGAAATTGCACGAGGATGAGCTAGAATTGGATGATGAGCGTAAGGGTCAATTGAATTGTGCATACGAAACTTCGCTGATCCGTGGACAGTTGAGGGTGTGCAAGAACGAATAGAATTCGAGGAAGCTGCCTTTCGCCAGAGTGACAACACCAAAACCGCACCGGCACCTCATGTTGCCCCTTCACGGCGGCGGAGAGGTACGCCTGTTACGAATTTGTTTATTGCATATATTTATTATGTCTTGAAGGTCCCGTATTCTTACCGTCAGAACATGACGAGCTCCCACCAGGGGTCGCATTCATGGTGAGTTTAGCATCCGAACTCATCCTTTCAAATCCCATTCAATTGGTTGCAGACCCTAGAAAGTCACCTAACACCAATTGCTGCCCTCGACTTCTCCGAACCTTACGGAACGCTTGTGAGCACATCACAAGCAGACTCCCAACCACGGCTTTGGGATTTGATGACAGGCTCTGAAATCGGGCGTTTACGTGGGCATCGTGGTGCCGTCAAGTGCATACAAGTTGAGGATAACCTTTGCTTGACTGGTGCAGAGGATGGCAGCGTGCGCCTTTGGGACCTTCGACTAGTAGACGAAGAAGAATGGGAGAGAAGTGGTCTTGCCGATGTTGCGGAAGAGGACGAGGGTGCCGCTTATGATGGGGAACTGGTCGAAAAACCAAATGGAATTCGGTCAAATGAACCTAGTGAAGCAGGCACGGCTGACCAAGCTGGACCGTGCATCAGGTTGTTTGAAGGGCACAGTAAGGCTGTCACCGCACTTTACTTTGAAGATGAGTGTTTGGTAAATCTTTCATTTGTTCTCCAGCTCCATGTCGTCTCACCTCGCATGCAGGTCACTGGTGCTTCGGACAAGACACTTCGTCAATGGGACCTTGCGACTGGACAGTGTGTCATGACAATGGATATCCTATGGGCTATCTCCCATCCACAGTCCACTATAACAGGCGCCGGCATACCAAATCACACCTTCCCAAGTGCCGCTGCCTCTGCGGGGCACTTCGCCGTTCCTACACCTCCTTCCGCAGACGGTAGTTGGGACATGTACGAAGATTTCGTGGGTGGGGTCCAATTCTGGGGTTATGGACTCGTGAGCGGTAGCGGGGACGGGGCAGTACGAATGTGGGACAGTAAGTTGTTCTGGTCATTTCTGCCGCATTTGAGATGAAAATTCTATCTCTAGTGCGGACGGGACAGGCCCACCGAACGTTAATGGGACATACCGGCCCAGTGACCTGTCTTCAGTTTGATGAGATGCATATTGCCAGCGGCAGTCTCGACAAGTCAATACGGGTATGCACGTTGATTTCTTTGGCTAGTGACATTCTGAAGTGTGTCCTTAGATATGGGACGTTAGGACAGGCGGCACATTTGAAACCCTCAAGTATGATCATGCTGTAACCGCGCTGCAGTTCGACACCCGCAAAGTTATTGCTGCTACTGGTGAAAATAACGTGAAGGTGGACTTTTTGGCTGTTTGAGTATTACTGGATACTAATTCCCTATGTCCACAGATCTATAATCGCACGAGTATGCAACACTCGTCTCTTTCCACGAACGGCCACACACAACCCGTCGAGCGCCTACGATACATGGACCGGTACCTCGTGTCGGGCGGACGCGACGCTGCGGTAAAGATATGGACTCTATGATTCTCGATTGGAGAGGTCCTAAGGACCTTTACCGTCGAGAATGTTGGCGCCAATTAGAATCTATATATACCTCCACTTAGTGCAGACGAGTCCGGTTGGTTATAATTTAGCACCAACACACCGGATAGATGTAATAGCACACACGAAGATGCATACATCTACAAGTTTTATTCACGGCTTGAATTCAGGCTTATCACATACAAGAAATTCATCAGATTCTTGCTAGTTTTCAGTGTGTGCGTCCCCGGACAAAAAGGCCGAAGGATCTACTTACGTGCCAGGTATCAGATTTGCGAGGACCGCACGATACTTTAATTGATCCGGGGACCTTGCACGGTGCACACGAAGTGCATGAGCGTTATGTCATTGTGCAAGATCTATGGGTGACGTTAGTGCTAGCCTACGCGATTTCAGGTGGGGTATTCGTTGTATGTACGCGACACTCCAGTAATTCTCGTTCAGGAATGATCTTTGTGTGGAAGAGCAACTTGCAGCTTAAGAAAAGGAGGGCACGTGCAAATAGCACAGCTTGAGATGGACCGCTGAGCATCAGGGAAAACCTCCTTCACAAAATCAAGGTAATTTCACAAACTCGCATGAAAATACTGAGAATTCGGTAAATTATTTGTATTCAAAGGTATTTCAACAAATTTCATTGTAATGCTCAGACAAGTGTTAAATAAGCATGTCGGTCACTGAAGGGGTTTACAAAGAAGGTGGAACAGCACTCCAGAACAGTGCTACTCGTCCACTCACGAGGTGCCGCTACGCCGAAATTAGGTATAAGATGAATGCTCCTACAGATATCTGATATCTCAATGATGCTTGCCAGACGTTCTCCATGACGAATCAAGCGGGCAACTTTGTACAACCCATGGTGTGATTCCGGTTGCTGGAATGGAGTGAACCATTCCACATAGGCAAGGTGGGTGGGTGGTTGTGCAGGTCCAGCGCGGAATAACACATTCGAAGCTTGATTTGTTAGCGTAAAGACGACACGGACTTGCGCAACACGGTAACCTTCAGTGATCGAGTGAGATTAGTGACTAACATGTTCAATGCACCATACAAAACGCACCATCCACGCCTGTTGTCCCGCCGTCCCCTTCGTTGACCAAAACTGTGTCAAAACGCGCGGGGATCATATGCCCTCGCTTGTCCTCTTGTGATGGTTGACAATGGACAGAATCCACGGTGACACTCGAGTCCTGGATCCCCCGAGCATTGATTGAGTTGAATTTGATCCTGTGGAACGTAGCCACAGTATCAAAGGGAATAATGATGTGAGCGGCCTCGCGTTCGAGTTGTGCTGCAGACAAACCAGGTTGATTTCTCCCGACGACGTAACGAGCCAAAGCTTCAGTGAAAAATGTGGCGCCATACTCCCGCACAATGCGGTCCAACTGGACACGCTTGATGGTCGGGTGTTTAGTCATCTTGATTGCGCGACGATAATCCATGTCTGGAGGTATGATTTCTTGCGGGGCAATATCACCAACGAGACGCCATTGGACAAAGTTGTCGTGCCATAGAATCTTCTCCCGTCTTTCGAGCCAGAGTGTCATTTGAGTGTACTCGTCTTTATGGTTGGTAGCCCTATAGGCATCCTTCGTGAGGTCGATGTGTAAACGTTCTGTGTACTCGGTGTTGTAGTTGTCAGTTGTACCATACGTTTTTATCATATGTACATAGTGACGGAAGCCGTGAAGCTTCGGAAGGTTGAAATTCGAGCGGATTCCAAGATCAAGGAAGATGTCCTTATTGTCGTGAAAGCGTGTTAAGGCATCATCGAGAAGTGCCAGTGTTTCGTCCGTATGACAAGGGTATTGCGCAAGGTACAGGAAATCAAGGATGGCACGAACAGCACGAGTAAGGCGAGCATTGTTGAGATTTCCAGGCAACCGTATGCCAATGACAATGCCGAGCAGGAAGCGACAGATTTGATTGTGCTCCGTTCCACTAACACGCGAGAGATTACTGATACCCTTGAGAAACAATCGGATATTATGGTTTGGGGGAAGTCTACGACAACGAGCATCAATTTCGGCTTCGCTATATGCCTCCTTGATCCACTCGATGAGGTGCTTTACAATACCCTGGTAGAGTTGATGTAACACGTCCGGCGTGATGGATTGGAATATATTAGCATGCGGGAGATCCAGCCAGAATGGTTTGTAGATGGGCTTAATGCCGCGCTCCTGGCATGCTTGTCTCCACAAGTCATAGTCCTCATCAACGA